CAGAAATAGAGAGGGTCTTTGACCTCTCGTTAATAACAAAAACCTCATTGTGTCCTCAGAGAGAGCGAGAGAAGAGAATATAAGCAAAGACAAATGGAAAATGACAAAGATAAAATGCTGGAAATCCGTCGGGAAATTTCTGAAGTGATAACAGGGCAGATGAGTTAATACTCCAAGCAGCGAGTCACAGATCACACAGATACTGGTGGATAGTTTCAGCAGCTTTTGTGCTCAGTGTGTACATCTTTGTTACAGATCGTCTGTGCGGTGTTTGCGGCCCTGCTGCATTTCTTCTTCTTGGCCGCGTTTACATGGATGTTTCTGGAAGGCGTGCAGCTGTACATCATGCTGGTGGAAGTGTTCGAGAGCGAGTACTCTCGCACCAAGTACTTCTATCTCAGCGGATACGGCGTGCCTGCTGTTATAGTGGCCGTGTCTGCCGCCGTGGACTATCACAGCTATGGAACCGAAAGAGTGTATGTATATAGCAGATACAGAGAGAGCGGTGGCCAGCTGGCAATATAATATGCTTTTATAGGGGCTAGCTGTCACACTTTTTTTTACATTCTCAACATTATTGCCCAAGAAAAAAGAAACATGCACCATGTTTGGACAGTATGTGCCATTAGATGGCCTTTTCAGCTAGATTTAACAGTAAAATAATGATAAATTACCAAATAATTAATGAAACAGTAAAAATGTAAACAATGGCAAAAACATGAACAGAACTGTTTTTGCTGTCACTGGGGCCTAAGGTACAAAAGTTAAAATGTACTTCTTTGTACCTTTTTTATCCTTAAATGGTACATACTAGTACACATTAGTACTTTAAAAGTACATATTAGGACAGTTTTGTGTATATTTGTATGTATACTGTATATATATATATATACATACATAGCCCTCTTCAATTAGAATATTTTTATGAGTTTTGTCCTTCAAACTAAAGTACTGTTGTATAAATGAGTTAACACAATAAAAATAAAACCATACTTCCTGGCAACTATATTGTCAACTATATTGTTCTTACATGTCATGTCGGGGCAAGTTGTCACATTATTTAATTTATATTAAAGAAAATCAACACCTTTATTTAGCAAGCACACACATTTAATTGATCAAAAGTGACAGTAAAAGCATTTACATTGTTCAAAAATATTTCTATTTTAAATAAATGCTGTTCTTTTGAATGTTCTATTAATCAAAGAATCCAGAAAAAAGTACTCATTGCCCCGACCTGACATTTAAGAAAAATACAGTTGACTTTATAGTTGCCAGAAAGTATGACAGTGTGCTTTTGTGTTCACTTCTTTATACAACAGTACTTTAGTTTGAAGGACAAAATTCATAAAAATGTTCTAATTGAAGAGGGCTTTGAAAGACACCTTTTGAGTGAAAATACATTTATGCAATGGGACTTTTGACTCAAAACCTTTTACTTAAAGAATCTACACTACATAATTAAAAGTACACTTATTTTACATAATTATTCCACACAATATTTACACAAAATAATCCACTAGAAAATAAATAAATAAACTAACAATAAAAAACACTAGAAATTAAAATATTGTATCACTTATTATGCATTGGCAGAGCTCTTGGTAGATTGTAAAACTGACATAAGGGGGAGGTAACACTTGAATTGGTCAAATTATCAGCCAGTTAATCTGTCTGGCCAATGTATTGGTCTATCACTAGTGTGATGTCCAAAATCCATCTGTCTGCTTCCCAGTTGCCTTCTTAAGAGCAATGCTGCCTAATGGTTAAGGAAGATTGTAGGTTCAATCCCAGGATTTAGTAACACAGGAAAAAAGAGTTAGTGAGATCATAGTAGTGCTTTATTAGCGCAGTGCCCTTGAGCGAGACATCACAGCAGACTGCTCAAGGGGGAATGGCTATGCAATTAGTGCCCTGAAAGTCACTTTGGATAAAAACACAACTGCTTTGTTGCAAATGACTTCATGAGCACAAATAACTTGACTCAAATCAATTATTAATTACTGCATTAAAGGGATAGTTCACCGAAAAATGAAAATTCTGTCATCACGTGCTTACCCTCATGCCGTTCCAAACTCATACTGTATGATGATATTTGAATAATGTTTCAGCCGTTTTGTCCATAAAATAAGATTCAGTGGGGTCCAAAAATGTTCAACTCTTAAAAGAACATTATTATTATTATTTTAAATTTATATTAAAGGAAATTGATATCTTTATTTAGCAAACACATATTAAATTGATCAAAAGTAACAGGAAAGACATTTATAATGTTACAAAAGATTTCTATTTCAAATAAATGCTGCTCTTTTGAACTTTCTATTAATCAAAGAATCCTGAAAAATAAAATGTATCACAGTTTCCACAAAAATATTGGGCAGCACAACTGTTGTCAACATTGGTAATAATCCGAAATGTTTCTTGAGCAGCAAATCAGCATATTAGAATATTTTCTGAACAATCATCTGACGCTTTAATCACAGGAATAAATTGCATTTTACTATATATTCACATAGAAAACAGCTATATCAAATTGTGATAATATTTCACAATTTTACTGTACTTTTGATCATATAAATGCAGGCTTGGTGAGCAGAAAATACACTTCAAAAACATTAAAGAATCTTATCACCCCAAACTTTTGAACAGTAAGTACAGTAAGTACACCAAATATGAATAAAATTAAAGGCATGTCATCAACAAATAGATAGTCAAAGCATGCTTCTCTCTTTGATAGCAGTAAGCCACAAAATTACTCAACTTCTGATCAGTGAGTGGAGGAAATCAGAAATCCCTCTAATGCTGTCTACTCCAGCAAAATGTTTTGCAAGCGCTAAGCGCATCAGATCAGGTTGTACTGAAAGTCGCCTGTGCGTTCACGAGTTCTGAAATGGGCAAACTGGTGAAATTGCCCTAATTCATATTCATAAAGAAAACTGTTCAGCTGGCATTACTGCAGTTAGTGGCCAGACACAGCCGTAAGGGATGTTCACTCAGATAAATATTTCAGCAAAAATCATCACTTAAAGATGAGATGTTGAACGTGGCATGTGAATAAGTGGTGGTCACTCAAGCACACAGTCTCACCAGACCACAGAATTAGGTCACACTCGTTTAAAAACAAGAATTGAATCGAAGGGAGGGAGGGAGGGAGGGAGGGAGAGAGGGAAGGAGAAGAACACTGTTTCACTGCAGATCCTGTTAACCTGAGCCAACGGTGGAGATCTAAACAAGGGCGTAGGGATCCTTATGCGGGGAAAACGTGGCCATGCCACTTTTAGAACATTCATCCCCCCACTTTTTGGCAGATAATCAGTGCTTTTCATGCCTTAATGTGTCCCCCATACTTTCAAATCTTTCCTGTACAGGTACCTCCATATAAACCGTAAAGGCCATAGTGGAGATGAGCATAAATGAAGGTGTTGTCATGGCAGATGGTTGGTGAAATCAATGCCAGGCTGGTAGGAGCTAAAATATAGCACAAAGAGCATGTCTGCGTGGCCTAATCCCAGCGCACATGAATTGAAATTCCTAAAATATTTATAATCCTATTTGGTTTCTGCATTCTCTAGCATATGGTATCTGTTCTTTAAAGCGGGAGCATGTCTGACTGTGTTGGTGGCCTGGAACACACGCACTCGAACAGCGATGCTTGCACTCCTGCTGGGCTGTAGAGCTGATTTCAGTATAGCAGAGATGAAGATTTTAATAATTCAGCTCTGGGTTGTCAATCACCCCTTGAGGTTCCGAATGTGTGGCCAATGAGCCATTTTTGAATGCGCTGATCAATTAAACAGCAGAACATCACCTTAAACATTCCTTCCTGGAATGTAAACTTGCTTTGATCTTAATTTTTAGAGGGTTGGAGATCAATTTCATTTGAAAATCTGTGTTTTTCTGTGTAGGTGCTGGCTCAGGTTAGATACTTACTTTATCTGGAGTTTCATTGGGCCTGCTACTCTCATCATCATGGTGAGTTTAACACACTCAAACACACACACACACACACACACACACACACACACACACACACACACACACAGGGGGTTTAGAGAACGATAGAGCAAAGCCAAATCCACACTGGAGCACAGACACACACACACACACACACACACACACACGTTTACATCTAAATGGGGACAATCCATAGGCGTAATGGTTTTTATACTGTACAAACAGTATATTCTATCACCCTACACCTAAACCTACACCTTACAGGAAACTTTCTGCATTTTTACAATTGAAAAAAAAACTTTGTTTACTTTATTTTTATACCAGTTTTACAAATGAGGACATCCCCAAAGGGAGGTTTTTGGAGATTTTGTCAGGTTTAGCTCACTTTTGGGTACAAATTTGTCCCCAAAATATGGTTAAGTAGGTACACACACACACACACACACACACAGGGGGTTCAGATAATAGTCTGTCGAGGGCATTTTCCCAATTACGGGAAAGTCACAATCACCCCAGAAGACACGCTGAGCATCCCCGTTGCTAGCATGTGTGTGCGTGTGGATGATGGGTTTGCTTTTTGTAGATCGTTTATTGTATATGTTTCTGAGTTTTTAGGAGGGTTCTCATTTGGGATGTACTGAAATTTTGTGAGAATAAGAATATGAGAATAGGCTGGAACCAAATTTTTGACATGGAGAAAAATCATATTTACCAGTAATGTAAATATCAGCTAATGGTGATATTTTGCCATAAAACGCTCACACTTACTGAACAGTTAAAGAGATGAGCAGACATTTTCTAATTTCTAATTACCAACCAAAAAGTATAACGTATATGTGTGCATATGTGTAGATATTTAATTCAGTGAGTTTTCTGTTTGCATACAGGTTGCACACATGCACTTATCTTGTACAGTACATGTGTTATACAAACAGTGAGATAGTAATATGTAATATACTGATTATAATATCATAAGATATCTTATGTAATATACTGTAGAGTAAAAATGTGCTTGTAATGAAAACAAAATTGGGAGTTATTGTGATTTGCACATCATAATGCGTGCAAGATTGTGTTTGGAATAGGCAATATCACATTTATCAATGCTGACACGTTTAAATGCTTATGTTCTATACCGTTAGAATATTTATTTTTTTTAATTTTAGATTTTGGAGCCAATATGTTTTTGTAAATTTAACGTTTTATATACATATATATATATATATATATATATATATATATATATATATGTATGTATATGGTTAAATTTACAAAAACATATTGGCTCCAAAATCTAAAATTAAAAAAAATAAATATTCTAACGGTATAGAACATAAGCATTTAAACGTGTCAGCATTGATAAATGTGATATTGCCTATTCCAAACACAATCTTGCACGCATTATGATGTGCAAATCACAATATGTATGTATATGGTAACACTTAGTATAGGGACCAATTCCTACTATTAACTAGCTGCTTATTAGCATGCCTATTATTAACATATTTGCTAATTATTAGTACTTATAAAGCACATATTCTGCATGACCATGTTATACATTGCTAATCCTACCCAATACATAAACTTAACAACTACCTTACCGACTATTTATATTAATTATATTGTTATATTAACAAATTTTATTGAGTTTATTGAGGCAAAAGTCATAGTTAATTGTTTGTTAATAGCGAGAATTGGACCTTAAAATGAAGTTTGACCATATATATTTATATATAGTGTGTATATATATATATATATATATATATATATATACACATACAATTTTCTCCCAAACAAAGGCTTATTTAAAAATGAGCATTTTCAGTTTCACTGGCTCCATTATTTTCAATTTTGGCCAAGAATGTTCATTTCGGTGCATTCCTCCCATGATAACATTGTGATTTCCAGGCTTAGAGATGAGGGCCCAGAAAGGTGAATCCCCCGCTGAGCCATTCTGCACTGTTTTATTCATTTAAATCTGTTCATTCCAAGGATTCATTCAAATGAAATGACATACAAATCAAAATATGCCCAGAAAGGATTTCAAACATCCTTATATCCACAAATCACAAATGAGTGGCAGTCATGGAAATGCATTGATTAATAGTGTGAGAGTCCTCTTTTATAATTTCAAGCGATTGTTGCATGTGTTTTATGTATTTTATGATTTTGTGTTGCAGCTAAATGTTATTTTCCTGGGCATTGCACTATATAAGATGTTTCACCACACAGCGATACTCAAGCCTGACTCCGGTTGCCTGGACAACATCAAGTAAGGCATATATTCTGTGCTTCAATGTGTGTGCACTTTATTGCTTTTCTTGCTTACACTGTGACTGTCTTCATTTTTTACTAAACACGCAATTGTCCTTTAATTCTGGACTGTTTCTTGGAGGTGTTTAAATGAGAAGAATGTTCGACTGCCTATCTTAAGTTAGATGCAGTTTAAAGTGTCTTTTATCTGTCGCTTTTTCCTTGATGTTCAAGTTCTCACTGGATCAGTAATGATAAAAATAAAAATTTAAATATCACATAGGTCACATTCCCTGCGCTATTTATGTAAATGAAGCCAGCATCATCTTTAATAGAGCTAGGACACGAGAGGCTGGCATATCAGGGTGTATTGAAACACAGCCAGTAGTGTGGGGGATCAGAAAGTGTGCAATACACAGTGTGTAGCATGTCTCATCTGTACTCTACAGCCCATTAGCAGACAGTACATGCTGAATCTAGGTTAGTTAGCATATTTCAGTAATTTATTATTCTTTTTGATGTTCAGAACACAGGCAGAGGAGTCACTGTTCAAATATGTGACCCAAATGCATTATTTCTGCTGTAGTTCTAGTGTTCTGCAAAGATATTCATGTTATTCAACAGTTACAGTACTCTTTATTTGATTGAACAAGTGGTGTTTTGAAAGTGCTGATATGCAGCATAACTTCAAGGACTTTACAAACTGTCAATTTGTGCATTAGTGCTGGGGATTTTCAGGTTACATCGATATACCAGTAGGTGGCGGCAAGTGACTCTTTTATGCATGCTTCAAAACATGAAGTCTTTTTGAGTGAGTCGTTGAATCATTTACTCAACCGAGTTGTTAAAAAGCACAGATTAATTCATGAACAAACCAGTGTTATATTTTAGTATTGTTTATATACTATTATAGTATTTCTTTTATTTAGCTATTTCTTTTAAATTAGCTTTTATTTTGATATTTTCAGTTTAGCTTAATTTTTCATTTTAGTTTTAGTTAGCAATAACAACACTGGAACAACTACTGTGTATCGCTTGCAGTCACGCAATGGATGATTCTGCTTCGTCCTTCTTTACATGTGCTTCTGCCATGTTTACAAGTAAGAAAATGTTATTATAAACAGCTACAGTACCACCAAAAGTATTCTGATCCTTTAGCCACACTTAAAAATGTGCAAATGTCAGTACATTAGACAATAAAAAAATTTAAAAAACACAGTTCTGTGCCAATGTCATTTAAACACCTCTAATGACAATTATGTTAATGCATATATATATTTGCATTCAAAAGTTTGAAGTCAGTAAGATTTTTTTTTATTGTTCTTGAAAGAAGCCTCACCAAGGGTGATGTTATTTGATAAAAAAATTGTAATATTGGGAAATAAAAAATAATAATAATTATATATACTGTATATATATATATATATATATATATATATATTACAATTTAAACTTTTTTCTATTTTATGAATTATATTTTGTATTGTATTGAAAAAATGTCTCCAGTCTTCAGTGTCACATGATTATTGTTCTTGAAAGAAGCCTCACCAAGGGTGATGTTATTTGATAAAAAAATTGTAATATTGGGAAATAAAAAAATAATAATAATTATATATACTGTATATATATATATATATTACAATTTAAACTTTTTTCTATTTTATGAATTATATTTTGTATTGTATTGAAAAAATGTCTCCAGTCTTCAGTGTCACATGATCCTTTAGAAATCATTCTAATATGCTGATTTTCTGCTCAAGAAACATGTCTTGTTATTAACAATGTTGAAAACGGTTTTGTGGAAACTGACTTTTTTTTCAGGATTTTTCGATGAATGTAAAAGTTCAAAAGAACTACTGTACATATTACACATTACACTACACAAGTACACATTTCTTTCAAATAACAAAAATCCTACTGACCTCAAAGTGTGAATGGTGGTCTCTCTCGCGCTTATATTTATATATTATTTCCACACAGTGGGATAAACTAGGTATTGGTGTCAATGGCAGCTGTGCACTCTCATATAACTAACAGAAGAGCTTTTCTTCTCAGTATACAGTACATTTTACAATCTATCTTCACAGCAAAGTCCTAGTGCCATAATCGAATCCTAATCTTAGTACTACTAGTCTCTTTGTCACCAAATCAGTAACAGAAAGATGACTTTTTAATGAGCTGAGAGAACTGTCTCTGCTAGCACAGGATACAAGATGGCCGATTTAATACTTTTAAAGTTCTTCAGTTAGTGGCACCTTTGACTACTTGAGAGCTTGAAGAAACGAAACGTTTACAAGCTGTTTTATATGCATTTATCACATTAGATCATAGCCTTGATCAATGGAAGCCCGCTTCCAACAATGAATAAAATAAATAAATAAATAAATAATTGCAACTTTTTCTCACAATTCTGACCTTTTTACTCAGAATTGCAGGATATAAACGTGCAATTGCGAGAAATAAAGTCAGAATTGTGAGATATGAACTCACAATTCTTTTTGTCTCACAGTCGCAAGTTTTATCTTGGGATTCAGACTTTTTCTCACAATTGCAAGTTTAGATCTCGTAATTCTGATTTTGTAACTTGCAAATGTGATTTTACCTCATGCAGTTGTGAGGAAAAAAGTCAGAATTGTGAGATAAAAAGTTGAAATTACCTTTTTTATTTTTTATTCAGTGGCAGAAACAAGCTTTTTCATATTGATCATCCTCGGATTGATCAAGTCGATTTTTTATACTGTGCGTGATGGTAATGCCATTTTTCAATTTTAGGGGGAAAAATAAGTTTGCTAGCTAGCAGTGAATAAGTTTCAATGAAAGTAAATATATATTTTTCTTAATTCTAAAATACTAACTAGGTTAATAATGACACCAATTAAGCTACTCTCAGATCAGGGTGTAAAAAGGATATTAAAAATTATTTTGAATGAAGAATCTCGAAAAAAAAGTATCACGGTTCACACAAAAATATTAAGCAGAAAAACTGCTTTAACATTGATAATAATCAGAAATGTTACCTGAGGACCAAATCAGCATATTAGAATGATTTCTGAAGGATCATGTGACACTGAAGACTGGAGTAATGATGCTGAAAATACAGCTTTGATCACAGAAATAAATTACATTTTAACATATATTAAAAAAGAAAAGAGTTATTTTAAATTATAATAATATTTCACAATATTTCTGTTTTTACTGTATTTTGCAGCCTTGATGATCATAAGAATCTTCTTTCAAAAACATGCCGTGAAGTTGAATGTATGTGTGTTTTTTTTTTCTGATTTGGAAGGTCGTGCTAACTGTAAATGATATGAAGGTTCCTGCCATGCACAGACACACACGTTACACACAGATGAGCTCATACACACACGCACACACACACACACACACACACACACACAGACACACACACACACTGTAACCTGCAGGAACTAAGATGAACTGAGTGAACTCTTTACACAAGGAGTGGCCAATCGATTAAAATTATAATTACAAGAATTGCTGACTAATTAATCAAATCACAATTAATCACATACATCGATATTTGCTGAGAAAATCTCTCAAATGATGGCTTAATCTAACTATCAAGTAGAAAGTCAACTTTTTCCTTATAGCGTAATCATTATTTTTAGTAGTTGAAAACATAGTTTTTAAATATTTTAATATACAAATATCATACATTTTTAATTCATAAATATCATTATGTTTTGGGGTCGTACCATGTGACATTTAACAATGACAATATTAAAATGAATTTGATTTCAGAAATTAAAAACATACTGATAGAGAGAAGCGGTGTCATTATATGTATGAATTGTATTTGCACTTTTAAATACAAATTTCTTGTTTAATGAACCATTCATGCTTGTTTCCAGCTTGTTTAATAAATCATTACTTTTAGTAGTTAAAAACTCAATATTTTCAAGATATAGATATCATTAATTATTAATTCATAAATATCATTACGTATTGGGGAGTTGTAACACAAGACATTTTACAACTTGAACTAAACAAAAAAAAGACATTAAAATGAATTAAAATTGGTGTCATTAAATGTATGAATTGCATTTGTACTTTTGAAATAAACAAATATATATACATACACACAAATAATTATACTAAACTATAAATACATTTTATATAAAAACATATGAATATATATTGTATATATTAAAATTAGCTACAACACTTTAATTAATTAATTATTTATTTATTTACAAACTTAGCAAAAATGTAACATCTCATTTTCAGGATAGTGTATTTTAAAGATATATATATATTTTTAAAATCCAAATAAGCTCTACATATATTTTTTGGAGAGCGTTTAAACAATGTTTTTCATGAACCATAAACAATTCTTGCACATGTACCTGTACACTGTAAAAAAAAAACGGCAGTTGTGGTTGCCGGAATTTTAACGTAAAAAATAAGGTAGCAACGTTTTAGGTTTTACGGTTTTAACTTAAATTTACAGTTAAATACCGTATTTTCATTAACTGATATAATGTTAATATACCAACTTATTGAAGTACTGAAATCTGTTTTGTAGCTTTGTAATACACTGATAACCACCAAATGCAGGAGGTGATGAGAAAGTCACATGATGAACCAAAGCCCATCACAAGCAGCTTTTAAATAATAACATATATAGAAGGTGCACAGCGTCATTCACACAAACACTAAACACCATCACGGTAACACACATGAAACTGAAATAATGCAATAAACATTCATTTAACAACATTAGGTGTAACACACAACCCTAATATACAAAACTGATAAGAAAAAACTAAGAAGAAACATAGTTATTTCAACAAAAAAACATCAAATTTGAAATGTAATGCAGGGAATTCTGGGAATGTCAATTTACGGTTATTCACTGTAAATTATAGTCTTTTTCACTTCCAAAAACGGTATACTACCGTAAAATTAATGTCCAATACATGTAATGTCCAATACAGTTTTTCACCATATATTGTAGGGGAAATTACCGTTAACCATTTAACAGGTTTTTACTGTAGCATTTTTACAGTATTTTACCGTTAAATTCACGGTCATTTTTTACAGTGTAGAACAGTCCTTAAGACACAACAGTGTACTTGGTTGTAGACAATGAAGGTCACAGTTACAATAGCTTAGGACAGTAAAGAGACCTTTACACAACAACAACAACAAAAAACCTTGGTTTACTAAACTGCATGTGCATATGTGTCTTTGCAGGTGCGTAAGGAATACGGCCGATGCCTCCGCACACACTGCTGCAGCGGGAAGAGTGTTGAGTCGACCATCTCCACTTCAACAAAGACCAGTACAGCCCGCACACCTGGACGCTATTCCACCAACTCACAGGTAACTCACACACACCTGCAGGGGATCCTCCAAAACCATCTCAAGTGATTTTCTAGGCCGGTGACTGGTGAAGCTGTCAATAGTCAATGCAGTCATCAGCTTGTTATTTCTTGCACAGAAAGCACTTTAGCTCTGGCGTTTTCTTATTCATGGATGAATACAGTCCCACATGACCCAATTTCCCATTCAGCCTTACTTTAAATTGTGCACTCAGCATTCTGCTCACCTCGCAATTCGTGAATATAATCAGAAAGGTTTTCAGTTGCATATTCCAAATAGACACTGTACAGCGCCGATAACTGGAAACAACAACAACAACAAAAACAAAACAAACAACTTCACGAGTTGAATGTGTGTAATATGCATTATATAAGATATTATATATAAAAAAATTGCATTGCACAACTATTGATGCTTAACTCAATTTCTTTGGACACTGCTTTCATTTCAATTAGAAACTAAACATCGACTGCCTCTCTTCCTCTGTTGTCAGAGTCGTATTCGTAGGATGTGGAATGACACAGTCAGGAAGCAGTCGGAGTCATCTTTCATCACCGCTGATATGAACAGCTCAGCGACTCTCAACAGAGGTAAAGCCAAACACACACACACACACAAACATAAACATGTGTACTCATGTACACAGCATTCATACACATACCTATTGAGAGAAACTGTACACACACACACACACACATACACACACACACACTCAAAAAAAGTGGAACAGAAACCAGTGATCATTTGAATTCTATAGGTTAGTTCTGACCAATGAGATTTGCCATTAAACAATACACGGTCACACTTTATTTTAAAGTCCAATTCACATTAACTAACTATTTACTATGTCTTTGCCTTAATAAACTCCTAATTAGCTGCTTATTAATAGTTAGTAAGGTAGTTGTTAAGTTTAGGTATGGGGTCAGATTAAGGGATCTAAAATATGCTCATGCAGAATACAACATTAATATGAACTTTATAAGTACTAATAAACAGCCTATAAGCTAGTAATATGCATGCTAATAATCAACTAGTTAATAGTGAGAAATGGTCCCTAAACTAATGTGTTACCCAATACACATTTGTAAATGTTCAGGACTTTCAGAAAAACGACAGAATTCTCTTGACGCATGTATGTCCACTGTTGGACTTTGTTAGTAGACAAATGACAAACTAGTAGGAGTGTGAAAAGAGTTTTACCAGAGTTCCCAAGGCCAAAAGTGCTCATAGATAATAGTACAAGTGTGTGCTTGAGAAAGAGCAAAAAAAGAGGAACTGGAGAGGAATGTGGAAGGCAACAGGAAAGCCCTCCGACTTTGTGACCCTGGAGTCCGAATGGATCAGACATCTGTGCATGTGCTCATGTCCTGCTCATTCTCAAACCCTGCCTGCCTCTGTTATGTCCAAAAACGCTAATATGATTTGCTCCTCCGAGCTCCTTTGTCTTCTCCATCCTGTGTAAACAAGAATGTGAGCTTTTAGAAGTCTTCCAGCGACATCAGTGCTGAAACCATGGGAAAAAACGTGCCCAATCAAGTCACACTGGCAGGACAAAATGTCAAACATCAACAGCTGTCCAACATAAACATCATCTATGCTGAGCTCTGTACTGACATTACACTCCACATGGGAGGTTTTACATTCCTGTCCACTGCGACTGCTGATGTTTAAAGCTGTTTAAACACAAGTTTGCCTGCATCATTCTAACTGTTTATTATACATCTTTTTTTCTGTCTCTTTGTTGCTCCTTCCTTTTGTCTTTCCTCTCAACTTCCTGCCTCCATATCTGTCTCTCTTCCTCTCTCTCTTTCTTTCTGTCTCTGTTTGTGGGTGTTGTAGGTACCATGGCTAACCATCTCATCTCCAATGCTTTGTTACGTCCTCATGGCACTAATCCTTATAACACACTGCTGGGAGAGTCTGCTGTGTACAATAACCCTACTGCCAACATGTTCAACACGCAAGGTTTGCCTCTCACATACACATTTACAAACTTTAGCACTTTTTGGATGGTAATTGTCTCTCTGGGTGACAAATGTAAAGGAAAACATACATGACGAGTCCTTTGGAAAAAAAATTATTCAAAAATGAACATGTTGTCATTTCCATCTTTTATTCAAAACTGCATGACTTTATTTTTTCCCCCTTACCACATAAGGAGATGCGAGGCAAAATATTCACACTGCATTCACACTATTTTCATATACAGCGAAAGTGAATCGAGATAAGACTAAAATTTGCCTTTTGTTTATATAACTGCTGTAAGTTTTTAATATTATTTTTATTATTATTAAATCTTTTAGATTTATATACATTTTTATAAATATAAATTTTATGTAAATGCATATTTATTTAAACATCTTACACACAAACATATGGGGTATTTCCAGAATCATAAATTCTAATAATCAGTGTTTTAAATGGCACCTATTAAAAAATTTATTTAATTGACATATAATTTTAATATATTTTTTGTTTTATAAGTTAACTTTTATTTTCAAAAACCCCTTAATTAGCTATAATCCTCTCATTTAATTTGGATTTGAGCTGGTGGAAAACAGTGTGGTAGTGGTTATGGTATTTTACTGTATAAAAAATGTAAATCTATTAAAAAAAGGTATTTTCATTAAAATCTCGAAAATTTTTATTTTTCTATTATACGTATCAGGCAATAAATAGGCCTAATTAATCAAATTTCTAAAAATTGTGTTATTGATAATGATTGTACAGATAATAATGAGTGATTATTGAAAAAGGATATTTTGCCACTTGTGTTGGACTGTTAAAATTGTTCTATTGTGTATTTTATTTCTTTGAGTTGCAATTTAGTCAATTTCCAATTCAACTTCCAGTTCAATTATTTTCAATTTCTGACTAATGAATTTAAAGGGACCCAAATAATGATATATAAACTGTTTGTTCACCAGGGTCTAAAAAAATACAAGTTGACTTATTTTACAGTAAAATATATAGTGATATGTATACTTTAAGCATTGAGTATTACATTATCTAATGTTTCTTGAAATACTCGATGTGTTGGATGTATTAGAGTACATCTGAATGGGTAATTCATATTAAAAAATGTTTTATTTTTTTATTACACAGTGGTGGGTTTCTTTGATATTCATTCTATTTTAGTTCAACTTCCTTAAATTCAGATTTAGAAGACTATGCTGCATCCTGTTTGTTACCTTGGGAAATGTAAAATTCCTAATGGTATACACACACACACACACACACACACACACACAAAATACAATCCAGAGTTAGCAGTGATATCCTGCATACATACTTCCTGTGTCTGTTTAATGAGATTGTTTATGTTGTTTCTATGTCCACCTGTTCTGTTTAATAATGTGGTGCTATTAGAACATTTCAACCAAGCATCTGTCCTAAACTCAGCAGGTTAGCAGTCAGTCACTAATGCCTGACACAGTCTGAGCTGAATATAATACTTCTCTCTTTCTCTCTGTGGACATGTTCCATAAGCATTTATGTATGTAATCATTCTCTCTCTTTCTCTCCTTTCACTGCAGCCTCCTACAGAGATTCAAGTATGATTCATTTACTTTCACAACAGCTACACGTTTATAATATATTCTCCTCTGCTTCTCTCTTCTTTAATCTTTTCCTGTTCCTCATCCCTCCCATTCCCTCCTCTTCTCCCTCCCAGTTAAATCTGCATCCCTCCTGCGTTCTTTTTGATAAAAGTTAATATCCTATTTGATATCATCTTTCGCATTTATGAACTGATTCATATTACCATAAATTTTAAATACTGTGTATTTAAGTGTTAAATGAGGTTTATTTTCGTACCATTTCCTGTGTTTCAGAAGGCATTCTCAACAACGCGCGGGACTCCAGTGTCATGGATACGCTGCCGCTTAATGGTAACCATGGCAACAGCTACGGCGTGGCAGCAGGCGATTACCTCACCTACAGCTCTCGTGGCAACGAGCCGCCAACTACGCTAGAGAAAAAGATCTTGAAAGAGCTGACGGCGAACTACACTCCGTCGTACCTCAACACTCAGGAGCGACAGGGAAAAGCCATCCAGGGGACCCTGACTAATAAACTCAACAACCACCTGGCCAACGGAGGGGTCGCGGGGTCATCGTCCATCACCAAAGACGACGTCATGGTGCTCGACAACCCCGGGGCGTTTCACCGACACGACGACGGCGGCGGGCTAAGTCTGGAGCTCATTAGGGAGGAGTCACAAGCGCCGCTCCTCCCACCCAGACCACCCCCTCTGGAAAACCACGCCCCCATGCACACATTTTCGGCCCACCGTCACCTGCCGCAGGAGAACAGCGAGAGCTTCTTCCCACTGCTCCCCAACGACACGCACTCGTCGCACACGCACACTCCCCACGCGCACACGCACTCCCCCCTCAGAGACTCGCTCTATACCAGCATGCCCACGCTCACCGACCTCCCGCATGGCACCGACGACCTCATCAACGGTCTCCATGAGGATGAAGACGATGAGGATGACAATGGCGAGGAGGAGGAAGAGGGCAGCGAATTGCACTTGGCCAACGGCGAAGGGGTCATCATGGAGACGGACGACGTGTACTACAAAAGCATGCCGAACCTGGGCTCCAGGACCCACATACATGAACTAGAGAGCTACTATCAGATGGGACGCGGTGGCAGTGATGGGTTCATCGCCCCGCCTGAGAAAGAAGACTCGTCGCCTGAAGAACAGCCACCGGACCCCTCACAGCTGGTCACCAGCCTATAGACACACACACGCACACACACATTCCCACTCAGTGCGCACGTGCGCGCGCGTGTGTGTGTGTGTGTGTGACACAATGCACAAGGCGTGGGATACACTACCTACTGCACTGATAGAGAGACTGATTCCAGATAGACCCCCGATTCCAGTACATACAAGTATCCTGTCACCAAAATCCTGCTCCAGTTAGAACCAGTAACCAGAACTAGTAACCCATTCCTACGCTAGAACAAGGACTACCGCGTGTAAGTAGATCTTGTGGACTTTTTTCTCATCAATCTGCTGAGAAAAACTCTTGCGGATTGTCAATTTGGAGATGTGGACGAACTTTTGCTCCATTTGCATAGCCCTCCTCGACGAAAACCTTCATCCAATGGCTGTCCGGTTCTCCTCCAAACTCACCACGGATTGTGGCGAAGAGACTGTGGAAAACTAGCTGCCGTTTATGACGACCGTGTATGATAATGAGACCACCGACCGTCGTACTGAACTGCATTACCCACAACTCTCTAGACTCCTCTATGATTCTCTGCTGCACACATTCCTTCTCGTTTAGCACCAATCTCGTTTCCGAGCGTGAAATCACAAAAGGCACATCTGTTCTTAAAGACTGAGGACGCTTCTTGTTTTTTTACGTTTATTTTTCTGTAATAATCTCAGTTACGGGAAAGGTAATCTTCACTATTTACAAAGAAATGGAACTGTTTTCCATGTAAAATGTACAGATTCCCGATATTGCATATGATCCTATGCGTTTCATGTTTTTTGACCTATTTTGCCCCTTGTATGTGTTTTTGTAGACTAGACCAATCCACAATGCTGTGTTGGTCCTCCAAAATACTATCCCTTATAACGCACAGCACACACGCGCACACATATCTACATACACACGCATACACACTCTCGTTTGGAAGGATGTCCATGGCCTCCTTTTTTTTCTTTTTCTTTTCCAAATGCAACACTTCGTCATTCTCACTGTGTCGATGATAACCAAGAGACTCTGGAGAAATGACTGTTGTGTGATTGACAGCTATTACAGATGGGATCCCAATGATGCTGGAACGTCGTCGTGCCATAAATTCAAGTGCGATTTTGAATTCTAGCGCGCATACTTTGGATGCAGGTTGAAGAATTCCAGTTTATTGAAATTCCAGTCATACATGTTGACACAGCTAAAATTGTTCTCTCAGGCTAAAAGATGGTCTATTATTGTGACGATTTCAAATATCGAGTTGTGTTTTTAACTTAAGGCTAGCGGGATGTGAATTGGAACAAGTCCGAGCAAATAAAAGTGTGAATCATCATTACGAATCATATGTAAACACATAAAATAACCGTGTAAAGAACAGACTAGAAGGATAGGACTTTAATGGAGTGGTTTGGAAGATGGAAACAACCTTGTAAAGGTCGATTTCTGAAACTACTGTTTACTTGTTCTCAAACTGAGACTCTCTGTAGCTTGCACATCTATCCCTTGTTAACCCACCCTGAGAAAAT